TCTGATTTACTCATGATATTGTGATTCATATTGTCAAAATTGCGAGTTTGCAGGCTTCATGGTATGTGGATTATCTCATTTTAGTGTCACTTTTTGCTAGTATCCTACTCACCTTTTGTTTCAGGTCCCGCTTATTAGCGTGAGTTTTTTTTCTTTTTGCTTAGAAGGGTGCATTTTTCTCTTTGTTTTTGGTTCCCTCCCTCTCGAACAACAACTTTAGCACTCGAGCTCCGATTTCCCTCTTCCAGCACTTTTGCAAAGGCGCCTAAATCTTGGCTCGAGCGGATCCCCGAGCGTAAGTAATCCCGCTCAAGCGCGCATGATTTTTCGCTCGAGAGAAGCCATACGCAGACTGCATTGTTTTTTAAACCCAGCCCTCGACCTTTCAGTTCATTTTTCCCCAAATTCGTCTCCTCTCTCCTAGGGCTCCTTTAGCAATTTCATTTTTTTTTCACTAGTATTGTGGTTTAGCTTGTGAGTTCGTATCATCTCCCTTTCTTTCGTAGTTCCTCATCTCAGGTATGTTTTTCATTCTTGTCTCTCCTTTATGTTTTGTTTGTTGTGTCTTATTCTGTCTCTCGATCTATGTTGAGGTTTAGTTGTGGTGACTTAGTCATTGTGTTCATTTTTTTCTCCTTGGTCACACACTTCCACAGAGGCTTTAAGCATGTTGGTAGGTATTATCACTTTAGTCTTATTTTGTCTTGTGCCTAGGGTTTCCTGGGTTGTTTCTGGTCTTGGTTGTGTCGTATTTTGTCTTTCTGTGTGTCATTTGATTTTACCATATGCTGTGTTTTACTCATGCCTATCGCTTGTAAGCATTTTGGTTTTAATCATGGTTTTGAATTTTGTTAGATTGCTCCTATGTTTTTTTTGGATTATGCTCTTGTCATGAACTTTGATTTTAGTGGCTTTGAGTTCTAATGGATTATGGTATATTGGGTTTTGTCCTTTGTATTTAAGTCACTACAATTTTCTTGTTACTAATATTATTATTATTATTTTTTGTGCCTAATGGTTTTGGGTCTTGTTTTGGTTTGGGAGGTGTTGTTGTCATTGGGTTTGCCCTTTGGTTTAGCCATGTCCACTTCCAAACGCCGTAAGTCTACAGCCAACTGCCCCACTTATAACTCTAACCATTTCCTTTCAGCCACAAAAGCCAAGAGCTTTAGAGAGTTTTATGTCTCTAGGACAGTCCGCTTAAAACGCAATGTGCAACCCAATACATTTGAGTCCATTACCATTCGGCCTTTGTTTGATCCATTGAGGGGTCACTTGGTTCTCTCTTTCTCCGGTCGTCAAAATCTTGACTAGGTTCGGGAGTTTTATTGTAACATCGAGGATATTGATGATATCAGTCCTTCTTTCCAGACATGGGTTAGGTCTAAGTCCATCACTGTTACCCCCGATCTTATTCGAGAGCTCTTAGGTATAGGCCATGTCTTTTCGTGTCACTATCTCTTCCTTGTCCGACCCACATGTGATTTCAATGAGGTGGCCACTGCTTTGTGTGGTATGCCCGGTACTTGGATCAAGGGAGCCTTGATCAAACAGAATGCGCTCCTTTCCCGGTTCCATTTGCTAAACCTCATTGTCTATGTCAATATCATAGTCACCACTCATAGCTCCAAAATCAATAAAAAACAAGGCTTTGTTCTCTTTTGCATTGATCAACACCGATCTATCAACCTTTCCACCCATGTTATCCAAAAAATGGTCACCGCCTTTGAGAGGAAGTCTTTAGGGTTACCTTATGGTTGCCTTCTAAACCGTCTTCTCACCAAACTTAAGGTTCTTGTCTTTGAAGAGGATGAGTTTGCCTTTCATACTCGACCGTTCACCAAAAAAGCTGTCTCCCAGAGTCAGTCACATGTCAAGGGAGGTCCTTCTAGAGTAGGTGGTTCTATTCCAGGTGATGATCCTCTTGCCGATGAGGCCAAGTTTGATGCAGCTGCTGCTGCAGGTGAGGGAGAGCAACCTTCTTTGGCTCGTTCTATCAGAGGCCAACTGCGTTAGTTTGAGCAGGCCAGGGTTTCCCGTTTTGATTGCTTGGAGGGCCGAATGGATATCTTTGATGCTCGGCTGACTGATCTTGAGACCTCCACCGACGCCCAGCTCACTGCCTTGGAGGCCTCTTCCAACCGTATTGAGGAGTCTGTTGCTCAATCTTTCCAGCATATTGCTCAAATCTTGACTCTACTTCAGCTATAGCAGCCTCTGCCGCCGCCGGATCAATGATGCTTGTTTCTCTCTCTTTGGATAGTGTTTTGGACAGCATATTTCTGTTTCCTCTTCACACAGTGTTTTTTCTTTTGGTTTCCTTTTGTTTTGTTTGCCTTGTCTCCCGAACAAAAAGGGGGAGTAATTAGACTGTTAGCAATGTTACTGCTAGAATACTACATTTGCTTGCTACACTTACTTAGACAGTTCTGGGTATGGTTATTGAGATGCATTGAAATAGGTAGCTTTGGATATTCTGTTGGCCATTATTGATTACTTCTATCTATTTATTTTGTTGATCTTATTTGGTTCCATAGTTTTGATTTGTATGGTATTTTTCCACAGGTGGATTGTTCTAACTGTTTCTAAGTGTTTCTTCATTTCATCGACTTCTGTGGTTTTGCAGTTTTTGTTTGTGTTAGGTCGGGGCTATTGATTGTGTTAATTAGTGTGTCTAGTGCGTGTGTTTGTTAAGGAAAAATTGTTAGAAAAGTTTTGTCCGGGAATTGACAAATGGGAGATTGTTAGGACCCTACTTATTGCCAATTTTGCAAACAAGCTTTGGTTAATCAAGTTGTAATTTTTCCTCAGTTTTTGGTCTTCCCGCTCGAGCGGGGAAAATGGCGCTCAAGCGGCGTTTCCACCTTCTCAGTATTTTGGCTCGTTTGCAAAGAATACTGTGAGGTGTAATTTTACGCTCAAGCGTATGTTCCTGCGCTCGAGCGTAGACCCTGGTTTAGAACACGCATATTAGTGTCTCCACTTGAGCGGCCATTCCTATGCTCGAGCGGAGATCACGTATTCTGCTGCTATAAAGCTGCAGTTTGCACTGAATCTAGGGTACAGCTTCTAGATCTTCTTTGAGGGTTTTAGGGTTTTCTTTTGGGGCTATTTTGTTAGTTTTCGTTAATGTTTGATTGAGTATTAAAACTCACATGGTTTGACAAGCATACATCAAACAGTTTGATTGTTTGAATGTTCTACTTCAAGAGTGTTCTTCTTCGGTGGAATCCGGAAATTCTCGCGTGGAGTATTCGAAGGAGTTCGAAGCTATACGCAATTGTTGATTTGACGTGGATGTTGTGGATTCAACATCAATCTGATCAATTCCGAGACGAAGGTTGCAGTGAAAGAAATATAGATTGTTGAAGACAAATTGTCAGAGTTTGGGTGATTTGGTTGGTTAATTTGTATTCTTTCTTTCTTTCATAGTTGATTGATTAGTGACGTTTAACCCGTGATTTTTTAATCACAATTGAAGGTGTTCCAATTGTGATTTTTTCCATGTAAAAATCTATTGTGTTGATTAATTGATTTTGAAGCAACAATCTAAATCACTTTCGTATGTGCTAAATGATTTAGAATGTCTGTTTTAAGTGTTTGGGTATTGTTGTAATTAATCTAGTTTAAATCACGAATCACTTAGGTTTTTCAATGACATTTTTTTGAAACTAACAAACTTATAGTGTTCCTCTCATTCAAAAATTAGATTCGCTTTTTAGATCTAATAATGTAACAATACACTATCTTTGACACACAAAAGAAAAAGATGTAACAATTTATTAACATATTCAAGACTTATGCTTCCCATAGACCGAAGCCCTCACTCAAAACAGGAACTAGGACCTCCGAAGGGGAACTACTGACCCACCTACATCCCCTTCCTAACGCCGCGAATAACCAGGATGTATCTTATTGCCATCCACAGAGCCCGGACTAGGAGCATCTATGGCACCGGAACCAGATGTAGCGGCATCTGAACCAGGAACCAGGGATTTAGAAGCTAGCCTTTCGCTCTTATATATTCTCTAATTATCAGTTAATTATTTAACTTACCTATTATTAGATCTAAAAATGATCTAAAATATGAATTTATACATTATTTTCCAAAGAGTTATCAACGAGTTCTACTTTCAATTGGGTTGGGCTTGAAAAGGGTCGAAGAGGGATGACTATCTCGTATTGTGTAGCTCGTCATCATTGAATCGATCCAAATGATAGCAATGTCTCCACCTCCAACATTAATGGTTTTTACTTTTTGCCATGGATTGTTTGCTTTGTTTTTATCTTTTTTATCTCAGGAAACACATGCTTGGGGTGAGATTTATGTGTAAATCTTAATAAATAGATTTAATATCTAATAAATTTTACGATAATTAATGACTTTTTTATTAAATAATATTAAAAAATATCATTAATTCTTAATTTTCAGCGATAGTTTTAAAATTTTATCACAAAAAATGTTACTAATTATAAATTTTAGCAACAATTTAAAAAAATTGTCACAAAAAAAGTCTCTAATTTTTAACTTTCAATGACAGTTTGACAAATTCATTACAAGAAAAATATTATTTATTGTAAGTTTTGGTGACAAATTATAAAAATTATGATAAAAAAAATCACTAATTGTCAATTTTTAGCAACATGTAAAAAATCGTCACTAAAAACTATTTTTAACGAAGATTTTATTAGGATTTATTTGCAATAAAACTTGATAAAAATTAAGTTCAACTATTAAGACCTATTGATAATTTACTATTTAATTAATGGGCTTAGCCTAACAAAAGATTGTTTTGAGAAGTTCATTAAAACCTGATTTTTTGAAATTTTTTATATAAAAAAAAAAGTGTAAAAAAATAGGAAGTGACCCAAATTAGTCATTCCCAAATTAGGCCAAAACAATAATAAATAAATAAATCAATTAAAATAAAATAAATAACAAAAATAATAATGGGCCTGGCCTAACAAAATGCAATTGATTAAACTTGAAATTGGCCTAGTCATATCTACAATCGGTCGCTGTGAACTAGGCTAGGAGGCCAAGGGCTTGAAGTTGAGGAAAATCGAAAACAAAGAAATGGCTTCTCCTTCTTCTACGACGAAGTTGCTTCAACTGAGAAGGCTTTCGAGAGCTCTCAAACCTCCCCTTCCTTGTTCCTCAATTCAAAGATCATATATTTATTCTTCTACGTACCTTCCGGAAGCTTCGAACAGTTCTCGCAGACCTACTCTCTCACCCCCTTCTAGAGGCTTCTGCTCTCGCCCTCTGAATCTCGAACACGAAGGCCCATCCCCCATTGATTACAGGTGCGTACCCCAAGTTTTCTCAGCTACCAAACAGTTTATTAGGGCTTCGTAGTGGCACAGGTTTTGATTTGAGAGATGGGCATTTCATTCTGAAATTCTGTATGAATTTCGAATTCCAGTGTTGATAACAGAGAGACTATAAGCTTTGTCGAACTAATTATCAATTTTTACCTTTTCTTGAAAATCTGATTGTTAGTGGTGAAGTACTGTGGAATTGCTAATGATGATTAATGTGATTACAGTTCTCTAGTGCAGGAGGATGAATTTCACAAGCTGGCTGATTCCACAATACACGACCTGCTAGAGAAATTAGAGGTGATATTTTGTGATGAAAATGCCTAACATTTTGTGTGTTTATTGTTACTGATTGGGCAACCTTTTGTGAAGGGTTCTAGCCTAGGTTAATGGGTAGATAAAGAAATACCTGCTATGTGAATCTCATGAATTCTCCTAGGCCAATTGTAGTCATATTAAGGCAGTGTTTGGATCATGGATTTGGGTCGAGATTTGAAAAGGGAAAGGAAAAAGGTAACCTTATTTTATTCACATTTTACCAACGTTCTCCATTTTCTTTTCCAAATCTCTACCCAAATTCAGATCCAAACACAGCCTAAAGGATCCTTTTAACTAACATAATCCATCCCTACATTCTTTCAGCTATCCCACCTTAACCAGCAGTGTTTTGCTTTTTCCACTAGTATTTTAAGAAGTGGATGTTTTAGTAATGATGTGCAAAATTTTAATGGTGCAAAAGTTTTTGTTATTTTCCTTCATGCTGTATTTATATGTTACATTCTTTTGAATTGTAATGGCAGTCACTGTCACTGTCACTGTCACTGCGCTTTAACTATCCTCCATTTTGTTTCCTGGCAGGAATATGGGGACTCCGTTGATATTGATGGTTTTGACATTGATTATGGGGTGAGAATGATGATTATTGTTCATATCATTTACCCTTTGAAGATAAATTGTGTTTGTTCTAACATAATTATGGTGTGGATTTGGCAGAACCAGGTTTTGACCGTGAAGCTTGGGACTCTGGGCAACTATGTGTTGAACAAACAAACACCAAATAGACAGATTTGGCTGTCTTCTCCAGTGAGGTAGTTACTTCTTACAGAATGAGTTGATGCCTCTGCCCTATTAGGCTCTATGTTGTTTAATGTCATTTATGTGTAGCTTTGCTATATAATATTTAAATTTGGGTTGAAGAAAGTTTATTTAGCACCTTCTGATGTTATCCTGCATAATGTGTGAAAAAACTTCATGTTCAAGATAAACTGAAGTTAGGATAAAAAATTAACATGCTTGACGTAAATTAAATATTTACCTTCATGTGAAGTACCATTTACATCCAAAAGGACTCCCACCCTGGAATTTAGAAGTACCCGTATTAGTTGTGGCATCAGCAGCATTCCAATAGTGCTAACTATTAGATTTGCAAATAGTTTAACCATGCCATTTTCTAAAATGGAAAAAATGGAGCTTATTGTGTTTAAAATAATAAGAGCACAAACCTATGTTTTTATTCATGCTTTGCCTCCATATCCATGTTTTAGTACTTTGGACTTAGTTCCTTAGATGCCACCCAGGCTAATACCTCTGTGCTTCCTCTTTATCTTAATCTTATTGTTTTCTCTTTCTTTTAAGGTGGGGAAGGAGAGTAGTAAATTACTAACTACGATGAAAAGTTTGTTGTAGAACAAACAGATAAATTTGCAGAAAATAAAAGCATAGAACTAAAAGCAACTAGTTTTAGTTAAAGAACTGTTGTTTAGGCAAAGATTGAGGGATTTTATCAACACCATCAATTAGAAACAATCATATTTAATGCTAAAGGAGGGGGGAAATGATTGTCAAATTCTCTCAAAATATATTTTATTTTGAACTTCTGAAAAGAAACTAAACAGACTACTAGTTTAAATGTCTTGCAAATGTACACAAAGTGAAATTTTGAAGGATTGAAAGAGGAATTTGTTAGCCCATTCACATTACTGAGGAATTTGCGATGCCAAAAGACACCTATCATCTTTCTTTGCCCCACCTCTCGGCAATGATGTTCAAACTTTGATTAGAACAACCTTGTACTTGTTTTTCTTCATCGGTCTAACAGATTATATTTCCTCATGTAGTGGTCCATCCAGGTTTGACTGGGATCAAGATGCTCAAGCTTGGGTTTATAGGCGGACAAAAGCAAATTTGGTGGAAGTTTTAAAAAATGAGTTGGAGCACTTGTGTGGTCAACCCATCAATCTGTCTTAAACTCTTGTAATTGCTGATTTATGATGTAAATTTCTTCTTTCGGATTTCATATTGGTGGTCTGTGATTTGGTTATTGACTGGGTTGTATTGTTTGTGTTGCTGTTTTTTTTATTTATATTTACGTTAATAATGGAATTCCAATAATATTTCCCTTTTTTTGGATTCCATTTTACTAGTGTTCCACCCGTGTTATATACAAATTGTATTTATAATTATTTATATATATGTGAATTGCGATTTTTAAAATATTTTTTTTTTGCCTACAGAAAAAGGAATATACCAAATGCAATGTATCTTCAATCAATTATTTTATGTTTGTTTTTATTCAAAATTTAAAAACAATGTATGGGCAAAATTTATAACTAAATTATGAAAAAAATTTATTCCTAACAACATTTTTTTACTTCTATATAAATACTTAAAAAAATAAACCTGAGAAAAGTAATCAATATAAATATTATACATTAAGGCCATGTTTGGTATATACTAAAAAAGTCAAAAAGTTACTATCCTATTTAAGTCACATCATTTTATTTAAGTCACATCACTTCTCTATCACATTACAAAAAGTCAAAAAGTGCACTTATTTAAAACATTCCAAACAACCTCTGGTTAACAATTATGCTTACATAAATTTACTATAATTTTAATTTCAAATTATATATATAAAAAAATTATTTTAAAAACATTTTATTTAGTTAGTACCAAATAGAATTTTCTTAACAAAAAGAAAATTTTTAAAATTTTGTTACAAATTTTCAAATGTCTATTGTTAAATATTTTATTCTATTTGTTTGTTTGTTTACTTGCTTGTTTTGTGAGTTTGATCTTTATTCTTTTCTCCTCATTCATCGTATTATTTTATTTATTTTTCTTTTTCTTTTTCTTACTTGATTTTTGCATGATACTTTTTTCATAATGCAATTAAAAATATCATGTATTTAAAATGCACAAAATTACAATATATAGAAAAAAAAGAAAAAATTAAAAAAAAAAAAAAAAAAAAAAAAAAAAAAAAAAAAAGAGTAAGTAATTGCCCAAAACTAAAACTACTTTAAAAAAAAATAAAAAACAAAAACAAAAATGAAATTGTTTGAAATAAAAAATTATTTATTTATTTATTTATTAATTTTTAAAAATAAACTTTTAAAGAAAACAAAGAAAACTATATATAAAAAAATACAGAAGCTAAATATAAAATATAATACAAAAAATAAATAAATTATATGATTTTCAAGAAGACTCACAAACAAATTTTACAAAATTGTGTCTACTTATATACTTTCTTTCTTTCTTTTTTTTTCTTTTTTTTTTTGTATTTCTAGTCCTAAGAATGACATTGAAATAATTTACACTTTTTGCATTAGGTCCATCTAGCTTTGGCAAGCACATATATAACAAATTTCATAACACAAAATATAAACAATTGTGAGATAGTATCTAAAAAAATGAAAGTAACGTTCAATGATGATGTAGAAACACACCTGACGTTTTAATTAGAAATATAACCAGATAAATCTCTATAGAAAAGAAAGATAACCTTTATTTTTATCACAACAATTACATAACTCAATATATAATTTTAATGTCTCTCACTCTTCCACATGTCCAATTCTTTATCAATATTAGGATGAATGTATGGACAAAAAAAAAGAAGAACATTTGAGAAGATAAAGAGATATGGTTTGAGACTTTTCAATTTATTAATTCTACTAATTAATAGTTATCAGGCTTCAATGGTCATGTTTCAATGGTCGGACTTCTAATATTTGTTGGCTATTAAACCTGAGTTCTTTGATTTCATTTATATTCACTTGATAATTTGAGAGTGGACACGTGTCAAGTCTTTACACAAATACTTGGCACAGTTTTTTAGCATTATTAATGAAATGCACGGTGTAATTTTTTTTCTATTTTTTCGTAATTAAACCTGTTATTGTTTAATAAGAATTTATATTTGTTTTAGATTTTTTTCATATACAAATTATTTTTTACAATGTAATTTTTTTCTCTCTTTTTTCGCAATGGCAACCTATTATTTTTTAATAATAATTTATATTTGTTTTAAATATTTTTTTAATATAGAAATTATTTTTTTATATTTTAATGAAATGCACAGTGTAATTATTTTTTCTCTTTTTTTCGCAATTGCAGCCTGTTATTTTTTAACAAAACTTCATATTTGTTTTAGATATTTTTTTATTATACAAATTTTTTTTACAGTGTAATTTTTTTTTTTTTTGCAATTGCAATTTGTTATTTTTAATAAGAATTTATATTTATTTTAGATATTTTTTTAATATATAAATTATTTTTTTAGATTTTAATAAAATGCACAGTGTAATTTTTTTTTTAGATTTTAATCTTATATTATATTAAAGTTTAATATTTTGATAATAATCATATGTGTTGGACTTTTCAAGGAATTAAAAGTCTTTTCTTTTTTATTATATTATATTAAAGTTTAATATTTTGATAATAATCATATGTGTTGGACTTTTCAAGAAAATTTTTTTATACTTGTTTTTAATGCATTAAAGTGTTATTATGAGGAATTATAATCATATATGTTAGGACTTTTCAAGGAATTCATATGTGGTGGATTTCAAAAAAAAAATTATAGTTGTTCTTAATGCATTAAAGTGTTATTATGAGGGTAAAACTTAGAAGTTAAGAGAAATTAATAAATACTAAGATTTTTTTTAAAATAAAAAAAAAATTAAAAATTAATATTAGAATATTAAAATTCTCACAAGGTTTATGGGTTAAAAATCCCGTTTTTCTTATATGGTATACAGTACAGATATAGATTGGTTTATACACAGCAATCTTAATTAGAGCTAGCTATTGATTTATTGAAAATGACTGTGCACTTCAAGATTTATTTATTTAGTGAAGTAAATAAACATTAAGAGCACACGGTTCTAGGGTATAAGGAAAATGTTATAGGGTTTAAATTTTCTATCAAATAAATGATCAAATATTTTATATGGATGTGAAGTCTCATACTCATGTGAGATATTTGATTATTTATTTGGTAGAAAATTTATCCGTTTGGTGAAGCTTTCAAATCATGATTCCACCTCTCCATTTGAGTGTGTTGATTGGATAAAGTTTTAAAAATTAAGGAAAATGACAGGTAGCTCGAAAAAAGTGGCCCGATTTTGGCTCGAATCGCAAAACGACGTCGTTTTGCGATTTTTTTTCTTTTTCTTCCTTTTCTTTCTTTCTTTTCTTCTTTTTCATCGTTGAACACAAGAGAAGAACAAAGGGGAAGATGAGGAGAGAGGGAGAAAGAGAGAGGAGAGGAGAGAAGGGCCCCTCCTGTACCTCCGCCGTCGCCGATCGTCGCAGTATCTCCGATCGTTGCAGCAGCTCTGATCGTCGCAGCAGCAGCTCCGATCGTCGCATCCCCGCCTCCTCCAGCCCGATTTTGATGGCCCCCTCCCCTCCAGTTCTCCTCCTTCCTCCTCCTTCTTCTTCTCTTCTTCTTCTTCTCCGAATTCGAGCCAAATTCGAGCTACGAATCGGAGTTGAAAAATTAATTCTACATCACTATTGAAAACTCGTTTCAAATGAGATTTGAATTTTGAAATTCGACTTACCTGATCGTCCTCCCAAACGTCTAGCCGATTAGCTGAAACAATGTAAATTTTATTTATTTATTTTTTGCAATTGACACTTGTTATTTTTTGTGTATTAAATAAAAAATATCTTCCAAATTTTTTAAAAAAAAATTATGAGCTTTAAATAGATTTTGGGTTGTGTATTTGGTTATGCGTTGTAAGTTTTTGAATCAAATAACTTTTCTAATTTCAAAAACTCAAAACTCATTCCCAAACTCTTTTCAAAACTCATAACCAAACGCAACCTAAGGTTAGTATTCCTAATATTATCCAAAATATAAAACCTCTGTAGGAACATTACTGATCGTTAATGCGAACTTACAAAAAAGTAACTCAAGGGTTCCCTTTTAGCTGTATGAATGGCAACGGGGAGGGACGGGGATCACACTCTCCGTCCTCGGCCCCAATCTCCGACAGGAACCTATCACTGCCCCCGTCCCCACCCCTAATGAGGATCGGGTTTCCCCAACCCCGAACATTCCCTGGCCAAAAAAAAAAAAAAAGATTAATGTGTAAATCAGATTAAATTGAAGAGAGCAAAAGAGAGGCAGAGAGAGAGAGAGAGAGAGAGAGATATATATATATATATATATCAGAGTGTGTGTGTGTGATTCATACATGAGATTCATTTACTGAAGAAAGGATTCATTTATATATATAAAGAAATGAAGGAATGATTCATTTATATATAAAGGGGTATTATAGTAATTTCACTTCGGGGACAAACGGGGACGGGGACGAGGACGGGGATGGGGACGGGCTGGGTACTGGGTTAGAACACTTATCCCCGTCCCTAGCCCGAAACTGATCGAGAATTGATTTTTGAATACCATCCCCGCCCCATTGGGGATATTTTTCAAAGAAAAATCGCTCAAATCAAGGTCGGAGAGTCGGGTCCCCGTCGGGTTGGGTTCAAATTGGCATCCCTATTTAGCTGCATAATTGACGCTGAAACATCAGTGAATCCAACATTTCCAACATTGTATTTTGAACGAGCCAAATGTGATTTAATTATATGATTAATTTAATTTTTTTTTGTATGAATGATCTGTTTCAGAAAACTTAAAAAATAAAATATTTAAATCATTAAAATGGATTCTAAGATGGGCTCAATAAGGCTCAACAGTATCCTCCAATTGAGTTCAATAACTGATAAAAATTTGCTCCCATTTGGTAATGCTACCACATATAAATCTCAATAATGTCTACTCCAAATTTTATTTAAATATATTACTATGTGATTTAAATTTAGGAAAACTACAAATCAGTGTAGTTTTTCAAAAAAAAAAAAAATTTAAATTAATGGAAAATTATATAAACATTAATAATTAAGTCTATAAATTTTTTCATTAATTTATAAATATTTTGTTTAATTCCCACTTATGTGTAATTTTTCCTTAAATTTATTCTAGGTGAAAATTCTTTTACCCCTATTGTTTTGTTTTTAATAATAACTAATTAATGGGACATAGAGCTTTGAAATTCATAAACCAGATGCTGAGTCTGCAGACCAGTCCATGGTTAAGAAATAGGAAAAATTACAAATAAATGGAACATTAGAGAAATTATTGCACCATACGTAGAATATTTTATGA